TGGGCTGCGTCGGCTTCTGCCAGTAGGTGGTGGGGGAAGCTCGACCGCGCGGCCAACACTGAGCCAGCGATCCATGAGTTGTTTATATCGTTGGTCAAGCCTAACGGAGATGTGAGAATATGCGCGGATTACAAAGTGACAGTAAACAAGCAGATCCAAGATGAACATCACCCTATTCCCAAAATTGAAGACATATTTGTCAACATGAATGGTGGAAAATTATTTTGTACACTAGATTTAAGAAATGCTTACCTTCATTTGGAAATGGACAGTGATAGTGCAAATATTCAAACCTTAAGCACGCATAAGGGACAGTACAAGGTACATAGATTAATGTTTGGTATTAAAGTTGCTCCTGGAATTTGGCAGAAAACAATTAATGGACAAGACGTTGGCAGGCCTAGAGGGGATACAGTGCTTCTTTGACGATATAGTCATTCAGGGAAATTCAGAAGAGGAACTACTTCTGCGTTTGGAAAGTGTCTTAGGAAAACTAAGAGAAAAAGGCTTAAGACTCAATCGTGACAAATGCAAGTTTCTCCAGAGAAGAATACATTATTTGGGCCATGTCATTGATGAAAAAGGTATACATAAATGTATGGACAAAGTAGCTGCCCTAACTAAGGCAAGAAAACCTGAGAATGTAAGCGAACTCCGGACATTTTTAGGGTTGGTAAACTATTACAACCGATTCATAAAAGACCTAGCTACTCTACTGAAACCATTACATAAACTTTTACAGAAAGGGAACAAATACGTTTGGAATGAACAATGTGAACAGAGTTTTGAACAAATCAAGAAAGTTATCTCCAGTGATACTGTTCTTTGCCACTACAGTCCAGAACTACCACTAGTATTAGCTACAGACGCATCTCCTGTTGGGTTAGGCGCTGTTATATCACACCGTTTTCCTGATGGGACCGAGAAACCAATTGCTTTTGCCTCTCGAACGTTGACGAAGCCTGAAGAAAAATATAGTCAGATAGACAAGGAAGCAACTGGCATTATTTGGGGCCTAAAAAAGTTCTTTACTTATTGTTACGGTCGCAAATTCACCCTCGTAACCGACCACAAACCACTAGTCACAATCTTCAACCCAGAAAAAAATCTTCCATCCATGTCTGCAACTCGTTTGTTCAATTATTCTCATTATTTATCAGGCTTTGATTACAGCATTGAGTTCAGAAGATCAAATGAACATGGAAACGCTGACTTTCTCTCTAGATTTCCTACTGAGACACAAAATAGTACCTGCATTGACCAAATTGATGTTTTCCTAACAAGTCAGATCAATCAAATGAGTTTGGATCATAATATGGTAGCAAAAGAAACTTCCCATGACACGGAAATGAATAAGATAGTACACGCTTTACAAAATGGCCAGTCTGTTGAAAAACTTGGATTTCACGATGGTGAACTGAGTCTTCATGAAGGTTGTATCCTCAAGGGATGGAGGGTTATGATTCCGAAGTCTCTTACTAAAACTGTTTTGAATGAATTACACTTTGGACACATGGGTGTATTGAAAACGAAAGCATTAGCCAGAAGTTTTTGTTATTGGAAAGGACAAGACAAAGATATCGAGGAGATGATTGCATCATGCAGAGCGTGTCGAGAAAAACAAAATGCACCACAAAAAGAAGTGAACCATCCTTGGATACCAGCTACTAGACCTTGGGAAAGGATTCACATTGATTTTGCTGGCCCTACAAATGGACTTTACTTCCTGTTAGTCATTGACGCATTTACCAAATGGGTAGAAGTATTGCCTACGAAATGTACTACAGCTACTTGGACAGTAAAGGAGTTGCGAAAAATGTTTTCTACTTTTGGATTACCAGATCTTCTTGTGTCAGACAATGGACGACAGTTTACTTCCTTAGAATTTACTAGCTTCCTTGAACAGTGTGGAATTACACATAAACCAACTGCACCATATCACCCTTCATCTAATGGGCAGGCTGAACGATTTGTTCAAACTGTAAAGAAATCACTTAAATGTATGGAAAATGAACCTGGGACCATCGATGAAAAATTACATAGATTTCTAATGCAGATCCGCCAAGCTCCTAATTCAACGGGAACCTCTTCATATTTCCTCATGTTTAATAGAAAGATTCGCACTTATCTAAGTCTACTAAAGCCTCGGGGAAAACACGAACCTACCAGTCCAAAAGGTATAATGCGAAGATTCAATCCTAGGGACCGCGTACAAGTCAGAAATTATTCAGGAAGAGACAAGTGGGCCTTGGGAACAGTTGAAATTAAAGATGGTAATCTTCATTATTACGTTAGAATGGATGATGGCCAAACTTGGAGGCGACACGTCGACCAGATGCTACGCACAAAACTTTAAGGGGGGGACCACTGTTACATATGTTATTAAGATTCACAGATGTTCAGAATTATTTATTATTATTGTTTGTTTAATTCAATGTTGTTGTTTAGTTCAAGCTAACATTATGAAATGAATAAATTGAGTTTTATACAGTTCTTGTTAATAATTGTATTTAATAATACCTAACCTGTATAGCAATGTAATGCTGATCGGTTAATAAAATTGTTATAAAAAAAATATCAATCCAGCTGTTAGTTCAAAAAAATTTTATTGCACTAAAACAAACCCAGGATTTTAAAGACTGCCCTAAATTAGAACATCTAGTATTACTATGTATATTTAAATAATCGGTCACCCTCTTGCCGAATAAATGAACATATCAATGATTTTAGCATTGCACATAGTATAAATAAGAAAACCCCTACGTATGTAATTTCATTTTTATCCAAATAATGAATTTGTGTCACAAACGCTGAATGTTTACAGCTGTTAGAATAGGCAAATGGTATTATACCAAAACCTTGTCTAGAATGTTAGCGTCGGCTGCTAGACTTTTTTAAATTAAAACTTAATTTATAAAAAAACTGAAACTTTAAACTAAAATTATGGCTTCAACATTCCTTAGTTCTCAAAATTATCTTTCTTTCAACACAAAAATCATGAAAATCTGTTTAGTGGTTGATTCAGAATTGTGAAATAAATACCCCCGCCGCAGCAAACCTGCCGACTAAGCGAATTTCCATTGTCTTAATTGATTTTCAATTAAATATATTTTAATAACATTAGGTTTAACGAGTACCTAGGTTTGCTGCTACAAGGAAACTAATAAAGTGTGTTTTTTTGTAAAATATTGATAGCTTAGTACAAAATAAATAAATTTGATCAAAATACAAAATATATCCATAAACAAGAAAACTACAACATTTGACAATATTCTCCATAAGAATAACATGGGAATTTTAAATTTACGATTTTTTAATTTTCTCCGTTACTATTAACCGAACAAAAATACTTTTACATACTAAATTAATTGTTTTTTTTTTAAGCTCTTTAAAAAGGTCTAAAGAGAAATTGGGAAATTTTGTGTTTTGAGGGTCAAAAGTGAGAAAAACCAATTTTTACCCCATAAAACCCCCCGTAAAGCCCCGTTCCCATGGTCCGATCATGCTCGTTCGCGAACTCATTCAAGTTTATCCCGCTTTACACCTTTAAACCAAATTTCATCAAGATCGGACAAAAATTACTCAAGTTATCGCGTTCACGGACGTATATATATAAGTCTATATATATATATATACATATATAAAAATTTGAACGAATGGTGTTTTTGGCCTCTGGGGACATCAAAATGAAAAAGTAAATCGGTCCCGGGTCTAGGTCTTACCGTGCCACCTACGGTAATAGCTACTTCCCTATAGGGACATTCCCTAAAAACCCTGTCACGTTTTAATATATATAAAGGATATTAAATATTTAAGTAAATAAGTACAACTGAGCACCCTGTATATTATATTTTATAAAAAGAAGTGACATGTTTCGGACATTAGTCCATTTTCAAACTTCAAAATACATCAAACACTTAACTGTTGTTTATATTGTTTGTTTGTAAATAAATATAATTTATATATACAGATGATTTATAGAACTAGACAGGATTTGGAAAAACATTTTGGTACTTACGTATTAAACGGAGGCCACATTTTGTCAGCGCGCTGCGGCGGTTATGTTAGGTTGGGTTATCGTAAATATTATGTGTGTAGGACTTTCCTCGCTTCGTTATGAATCGAACGATACCAGACGAGTTATACTTTCTATTATGATAACCCAACCTAACATAACCGCCGCAGCGCGCTGACAAAATGTGGCCTCCGTTTAATACGTAAGTACCAACATTTTTGTTACTGATTATTTAATTTTAAAATTTGGTCGAAGATTGGGTTTCTTGAAGGAATTTGGCTATTTAAAATATGATTTGGATTTTTTAGATTTTCTTCGTATATGAAATATTCTTCAGTTGAATCCATTCGATTTCCTTTGTTTAAAACTTTTAGAATTTTCATGTTGTTTTTTAAATTTGTATAATTGTGGTTGGTCGATAAAAGGTGTTCAGCAAAGTCACTAGTTTATCGACCAACCACAATTACACAAATTAAAAAAACAACATGAAAATTCTAAAAGTTTTAAACAAAGGAAATCGAATGGATTCAACTGAAGAATATTTCATATACGAAGAAAATCTAAAAAATCCAAATCATATTTTAAATAGCCAAATTCCTTCAAGAAACCCAATCTTCGACCAAATTTTAAAATTAAATAATCAGTAACAAAAATGTTTTTCCAAACCCTATCTAGTTCTATAAATCATCTGTATACATAAATTATATTTATTTACAAACAAACAATATAAACAACAGTTAAGTGTTTAATGTATTTTGAAGTTTGAAAATGGACTAATGTCCAAAACATGTCACTTCTTTTTATAAAATATAATATACAGGGTGCTCAGTTGTACTTATTTACTTAAATATTTAATATATCAGCAGCCCTATTACGTGAACACCTAAATTAATATATAAAGGATAATATATTTTACTATAGGGTTTCTGTATTTACTTGGTTACCTGTTGGTACATACGAGTTTTAATATCGTGCGATGTTGCAGACAGCCGACAGACTACCTCCAGACCTGTTCAACATGATATATCACGCGTCAGTAACAGTTCAGTGGATACAGTGGTCGCTGCAGTGGGGACTGCTGGCTATATCACTGCTCTCTGCTGGCTGTCTACTGCTGTGTCCGTGTTTGCGGCTGCGACCAGTCTCTGTATCCCCTGCTTCACCTAATACAGAGATTGTTGTGACCAAGTTATCCTCAGTGTAAACTCTAAACCATCATATAGAGTTCATTATGATTTATAAAAGCTATAAATGAAATGAAGGGCTAACTGAAAGAAGTGGCTAAGTCCATTTGGGTAATTTTACAGTAATAGAGCGTTTTTAAGGTCTGGGCTGAGCTTGTTCTTTCCCCTTTGGTTTTTTTTATTTATTTTTTTCCTCAGGAATGATATGATATGAGCTTGTCATTTCCCAAACCAACACATTTTACACATTCTCCTACAGGATTACCAACATAAAAGTAAATCAAATCAAAATCGAAAAAATGGGCTTGGCCATTTTTTTCCGTTAGCCCTTCAAATGTTATCTTGGGAGAAAAATCTTGGTTTACCCTTAGGCCCTGTTAAACATAAAAGATGAGTTTGATGCACCATCGGCTTGCTTAAACTGAGAGAGTTTTTACTGATACAAAAACCAAGAAAATATGTTTTTCTGGTTTGATGTGTGGATTATCTGTAATGTGTCTTATATAGACCACTTTTGAGAACTGTTTATTATTATTATTATTTTGAAGTACCTTAAGGTATCTTAAGCTTTATCTATTAATTAATTATTCAACACTCTAAACTTTTTTCTTAACTTTTTAGTCTTCAATACGGTATCTAAAAAAATATATACGTAACTGGAATCCATACAATTACCAGGAAGGTACAGACAGAAAAGACAGAAAATCCTCTCTCTAATGTTTTTTACTCTTGTCAGTAAAATGAATGAATTAATTGTCAAGTATTTTATATTCGGGACATGTTTTAATAATTATACAAAATGTTAAACTTGTACTCTCTGTGAGAATTATTTTCCTGTAATTGCTGTTTGTATTATTTTTTATGCTTACTCTTAAGTTCAGCTGAGACAAGATATAGTTATACAGTTAACTGTATATCAATGAATGGCTCTGATCATTTAAACAGGCGTTTTTCAATAAAACTTTATGTCTAGATACAGTAGTTGGTTTTGATGAAATACACTGTATATACCTACTTTTCTAGTTCTGTAGAACGTAGATCTGTTGTCCTCCATAAATGCATTCATTTTAGGTGTTTCCTGTGTTCTCAAAACTTAAGCTATCATAAGTAGGCTGATTTTAGCGAATTTCCCATATAGAGAAATTACCATAACTATAGCATGGTAATATATAGAGCCACAGGGACGATTTACTTTTAGCGAATTTCCTATCAGTGGCGTAGCCAGGTTTGGAGCGCCCTGAAGCCTTGAGTTGCTTGAGCGCCCTTCTTAACACCACTACATATTAAATTCCCTTACAATAATGGTCTTTTAAGATATCATGTGTTCAATAAACGCCTAAAACACAACTTGTGTCATACTAAACTTAAACTTTTATTTCACAATAAATTACCGAACAGATTTTGGCACTTGTACCATCAGAAGACACTTTTCGCCAGTGAGATGTACTATATTTTTCGCCACACCACACATCACCAGCTGCATGATTCACAAAACATACATTTCGTACATTGTTTACTATAGGCTAGTCCTCAAAATGGTTTCCATCTGGTTTAACTTTTGAATGCATTCATTTTGTTATTCTTGGATTCTTTTACATTTGAATATTCATACAAGTCGATAAGGGATATTTTAGTAGGTAGTAAAATAACATAATGGTAAACAAAATAGTATAGTGATTGAGGCAGTCCAGTAAATTACGAAGCTATAAGGCAAAATCTATATGGTTGATAGGAATTTGCGTCAGGAAAAAGTGCACAATCTTTTTCCTAAGCCCATCACATCAAATTCGAGGTATTCTAATGGTAATATACAATGTAAAGAATAATCAGTATGAGTATGATTGAGGCAGTCCCCTAAATTACCAAGTTATATGGCAAAATGTATATGGTTGATAGGAACTCGCATCAGGAAAAAGTGCACAATCTTTTTCTTAAGTCCATCATTGGTTACTTCGCTCCATTGAATATTCACGACTTTAACTATATTGGACTTTCCAGCGAGGAACAGTAGTGTTGATCGCATTGAAAGGACTCCTATACATATTTATAATATATCAGACTAGGTGAAACCCGTCGAAATCGACGGTTACTTTCAAGGCTTACGTTAATTCATCTAACTACGATTAATTGGGTGAAATACACATTTGAGCATTTAGCATATTGTTTAAAAAGCAATAAGTGTAAAAAAATAATAATATTAATTGCATTAGTTGCCAAATATGGTTCATCATTCAATTAATAAAATATTTCCCATACCGTACGTCATCGGAGTTATTATTAGTATGTTATATGGTATCTCTTCCTTTGGAAGAACCTTTAAATAGTACTAAAATCGTATTGGTGGATCTTTTGTAGTTAAACACTTCCGTGATTTCATAAGTGTAATATGATTTTATTTGAAAAGAAAATATTTTTTTTTTGGGAAGACATATTCTAACTTCAAAGGGAGGTATATCCCTTACAGTGTAAGTTGTATTTTTCCTTCGTCACGTCGCGTCGGTTCATATCGTACTTCTATGCCATTGAATGGTTGTGGGGTTACAGTTTTAGCTGGAATTCCTTGACACAGAGGATGTCAGTTAGTTGTCTTAACCGTAACCTTATCAATAACATAAAGTTGTCAATATAATCTCTCTACGGAATGTTAGATGTAGTGGAATACTTGAAGTGAAGTTGGCTTTTATTCTTGAACTGTTAGGGGCCTCCTAGTTCATATAGTCTTGCGGCTTCATTGGCAACAAATAATGCAAATGACACAGCAATGGGACATTTCCAAAAAGAAAAAAATACTGTAAATTGGCTGTTACGTATATATTGACGTTTACATATTGTTAATCAACGTATCTTATACAGGATTTTGTGATCTAGTTTAAAAGGATTGCCTTTCTGTGATGACAGTAGCTGCTTAAATAGTATTTTATCTTTGTACCATATTTTACGGCCAAAATGTCGTGTTATTTTCAATAATGTTACCAACCTAGTGTGCCAAAGTCCGTAATATAGGCAGGTGCAAATAATTTGTCAAGATGGGTACCATTTTAGGCAAGGTTTCTATGTTTGGATTTTATTAGACATGATAAGAGCAGATATTTCTACATAAATATTTGATATGTGTGGAATAATATGATAAAATGTAGGCAAAAGTGACGAAAAGGCAGACACCAACCCGTACAATACATATAAGATAGTTCAATAAGAATAATTTAAGAATTGCTGTGATAATTGGATTTTCCACTGATTTCATAATGGAACGTTATATTGCAAAACATGATAAAGAAGAAAATCAATTTTAAAATCAGAAAATACGAATTCAGTAACTCCCAATAAATGTGTGTTGTTTGAAATACAATTTAAAAATGAACAGCTGTTTCATTAAAAAGTGTTATTCACATGGCCAAAATGTAAACAGCTCTGTGGAGGGATCTTTAAAGGCTTCTGGGGCAGAGTCCTAAGGGATTTTGCTTAGTTTTTCTTTTGATAACTCATCTACAGACCATGACCTTTGTTTGGACACCTCTACCAAGTTTCTACGCCCAGCCGTTCTCTCAAATTAGTGGGGACAAAGTTTCCAATGAAATATTTAGATTTCCCCATGTTAATCTTAAGGCAGAAACTCCAACTTTGATGGCCAGTGGGGCAAAGCCCGAGGATTTTTATTACAGGAATTGGTGAAAGGGGGCGTCTACACAAAAAATACTTTATTTTGACACGTCGTTTGTAAAAATCCGTCCATTATTAACGGAGGAGTAGTGTTTTGTAGAAATCGCCTTCACGTATTATATATAAGGATGAACTTGGTATGTACTTATAAATGTTGAAAAGTGACTAACTCAACGTCGGGTGGTTTGGTCTGTGTGGAACAGTCATGAAAAGCGGTTAAATCAGCCCCGGTGCACGCTGGTTTGGTTCGCCGCTGTACCAACGTGACAACACCAAATTACCCTGCGATCCCTCTCAACGCCGCCGTTCCGCCTGGACAACTGTGGACGCTCCACGCTACGCTGCTCTGTCCTACTGCTTGCTTCTACAAAACTGCAGGGGCGCACGTACTGCTCCAATAAACTTTACGTGCCTCGCGCTGAACTCTTCAACTAACTGGGATGGAACTGTTGCACTACTACTAACCTGGAAATGTTATATTTTATGTTAAATATATATTTTAAAATAGCTTTAAATCTTTTATAAAACTTGCCTTGTTACTGATTTTAGTTTTTGGTTTTCTATTAGGCCTACGGCATTGACACAATGAATCTTGAATCAATTGACAATAGTAATCTGGATGCTAAAACTCAAACAGTTATAGTGGAACTTGCCTCCTTATTACTCTTTCAAGTAACCGTCCTGATGTAGTAGATCTTTAGCAGTAAAAATCGCCGACTTGCTAAATACTATCTGTGTAACATTAGATACCAATAAAAACCTTATGATAACAAATGATGAGTTGTACAACAAAAACTTAGAACTTGAACTTTATGTAGAATCGTTTAAGAAGAAGAAAAATGATGAGCTTAACGAATCTTTCAATATACAAGATACTGCCATTGAAAAAAATGAGTCTTTAGGTCGTGAGATAGAGTCTCTAAGAGTAGAGGCTGTCAACCTTTAGATCAAAATTTAGTAAAGATAAAAAAGAAAATTTACTTTGCTTGCCTAAAGTGAATTGTGACACAGAATCAGCAGTTTCTGTGAACTACAGTAATATTATCCAACTCAAAGAACAAATTGTTCATTTGGAAAGACGTTCAAATTCATTGACTAGGCAAATTCAGGCAGCTCTTGAAAAAAATGAGAACCTTACATCTAAGTTAGATAGTTTATCATTACTTGACAAGCTTCCATCTAAATGCATGTCCACATCCCTTTGGTTTGACGACTCCATCATACAATCCTATTTTTCCTCCTTCAGGGGGGGTAGCGGATTTTTATCCCCCTGGAATTTTACCCCCTGGGCAAACGTGACGTCACAAACCTGGGGGTAAAATTCCGGCCGCGAACTTTTGAGTTTCGCGACATCAGCTCAATGGATTAAACGCGGAATTAAACATATATTTTCATGGTTGTGAATTTAATCAGAACACATCAAATTATCAAAACCTAAAATGTACGGCCCGGATTTTTACCCCCGGAATTTTACCCCCCGGATTTTTACCCCCGGAATTTTACCCCCCCCCCCGATTTTTACCCCCGGAATTTTACCCCCCGAATTTTTACCCCTGGATTTTTACCCCCGGAATTTTACACCCCCTAGTCAGATGTATAAATTAGTGAGAATGATTAATTATCTTCATTCAGTTTTAATTTAATAGTAAACATTTTATTATTAAGTAGCCTCTTAATTTATTTGTAACATTAACAAATCGAACATGTTAATAATTTTAATTTTGAGATTCGAGTATCAGGATTCGATCTTGCTGGACTGTTGGTTAATACGATCAAAATAAAACAGCGAATTCTGTTTACTTAGTTGAGATTACAAAATAAATAAATAAAGATAGGCTACTAAATAATAAACTGTTTACAATTAATTAAAAACAGAAATAAGGAAATCAATAATTCCATTTCTAAAATCGGCCAGGGGGTAAAATTCCGGGGGTAAAATTCCGGGGGTAAAATTCCGGGGGGTAAAAATCTGGGGGTAAAATTCCGGGGGTAAAAATCCGGCCCGTACATCTTTAGTTGTCTAAACGCTAGTTATATGGACAGGGGGTAAAATTCCGGTTTATATCGCCAATCTAATTAATCACGCTCTGGCTATTTTCATTAGACTTCTAAATCCGCGGGGGTAAAATTCCGGCCGCGAACAAACTTTTGGC